GAGTCGTAGTGACGCAGAAGAAGAGCCTGCAGCTCGGACTGTTTAGATGTTCTCTTCCTTCTCCTCTCCCCTCATCACCAACTAGTAGGTGGCCACCTAAGGCGTGTAGGCGAGATGCAAATACTGCAGCAAAACCTGCTGCTTCTGCATCCAATTATACATCATATATTCATCAACCAACCAGTCAGGCCATGCACAACAGACAGACGGTCTTATCTCCGCCTGGAAGCTCTGCTCGTCCGGCTGCCTGGTCTCGTACACCTGCTCCGGACTCTCCATGCATACAAGTCTGCCGCTCTGGGAAGCCTCGGCCGGTGAAATGGGTCCCGGGCTCTAGGACGGCGGTGGGCTCGTAGTAGACGGACTTCTTCGAGTCCTGCTGACGCAGAAGCGCCTACAGTTCAGGCTGGTTAGGTGATCTCCTCCTCTCCCCTCATCACCAACTGGTATGTGGCCACCTGAGGGGCGTAGGCGTGATGCAAATACTGCAGCAATACCTGCTACTGCATCCATTCATCCATCATATATTCATACACCAACCAGCCGGGCCAGGCTTCGCAGATAGAGGGTCTACTCTCCGAATTGGGGTTCTGCTAGGCCGGCTGCCTGGGCTCGCCTACCTGCTCCGGACTCTGCATGCAGACAAGTGCGCCGTTCTGGGAAGCCTCGATCGGTGAAATGGGCGCCGGGCTCCAGGACGCCGGTTTGACCGTCGGCGGCTTCAAGGATAAAACTGCCCCACTCAGTCAACAACCAGACTGACGTGTCGTAGTACACTACCTTCTCCGAGTCCTGGTGACGCAGCAGAAGAGCCTCAGGCTCGGACTGGTTAGGTGTTTTCCTCCTCATCCTCTCCCTTCATCGCCAACTGGTACGTGGGCACCTGAGACGCGTAGGCGGGATGCAAATACTGCAGCAATAGATGCTGCTGCTGCATCCATTCATCCATCATATATTCATCAACCAACCAGTCGGGCCATGCATGGCAGACAGACGGTCTCCTCTCCGCCTGGAAGCTCTGCTCATCTGGCAGCCTGGGCTCGTCCATCTGCTTCAGACTCTCCATGCAGACAAGTCCGACGCTCTGGGATGCCTCGGTCGGTGAAATGGGCGCCGGTTTCCCCGTCGGCGGCTTTAAGGACAAAAGAGCCCCACCCAGTCGACAACCAGACTGGCGGGTCGTAGTACACGGCCTTCTCCGAGTCCTGCTGACGCAGCAGAAGAGCCTCAGGCTCGGACTGGTAAGTGTTCTCATCCTCCTCCTCTCCCTTCATCGCCAACTGGTACGTGGGCACCTGAGGCGCGTAGGCGGGATGCAAATACTGCAGCAATTGATGCTGCTGCTGCATCCATCTATTCAATCATCCGTCAACCGGTCGGGCTTGGTCCGGCAGACGGTCGGTCTCCTCTCCGCATGGGAGTTCTGGTCGTACTGCACAATGGGCTCATCAACCTGCTTCAGACTCTCCATGCAGACGAGTCCGCCGCTTTGGGAAGCCTCGGCCGGCGAAATGGGTGCCGGGCTCCAGGACGCCGGTGGGCCCGTCGGCGGCTTTAAGGACAAAAGAGCCCCACACAGTCGACAACTAGACGGACGTGTCGTAGCACACAGCCTCCTCCGAGTCCTCGTGACACAGCAGTAAAACAGATTTATCACGGCCAAATCCTCCTCTAAAACCTCGCGTCGCATCTCCAAATTGCTAAAATAGGATGTATTAAGCAAAATAAAGTAACAAAACCATATAACGAATAGCTCAGTATACCTGATGCGTGAGCTGATTTTGCATCAAATTAAGATGTTGTTCGTCTATAAAGATACTAGTTTTTGTTCTGATAGTATCTAAGTCCCGACGAAGACGTTCAAGCTCCTCATTGTAGCTCCGCACCATTTCCTTCCTGCTTAAGCGGATATTGACTTCGGGCCTATTTTGTATATTTTTTGCCCGATGAGCGTAATCCAAAGTGGATAAAGTTTCGTCGAGACACAGATTAATGGGACTAATAGTCGCTATTATCGAAGTTTTAGTTCTACCACTAAGAGAATCCTAAAAAAAGGAGTTAAGTATGATAACGACACAGATGAAGTCAGTCTATTCCAACACATACCAGAAGAAGCCACGTCAATTTGCTCTCACGATAAGGAATGTGTTGATTACGGTCAACAAGAGCTGTGATAACCCTACCCAAAGTAAGAAGGCTTTGGTTTATCACGCCTGCTTCTCTAGCGCGTTTGTCGACAGCACCAGACCTTCCTATGTTACCGCTCCCGGCTAGATCAACGAGGTTCAGCTTTCC